ACCGTGGCCGCACAGTCCACATGAAGCGAGACACCTGAGGAGAGGACCGAACGGCGGGAGAGCATCAGCACAGCGAAATCCTCGCCGTCGCGTGCCTGTTGCCCAGGCGCTTCCCCGATCGGCACGACACCAAAAAGGGCAGCGAGGGTCCTACCCTGCCTGTCCAGCACCACAACAGCCCAACCCGCGGTCCCGAGTCCTGTGAGCTTCCCTTCAAAGCCCGACCCGTCCGTGAACACATGAGCCCCCTCAGGAATAAACAAGGGGCCGTCCTGAGGCCACTGAAAGTGCCTGGTGCACGGGTCCTGCGGGTCGCGGGGGGGTCGCTCCACCCAGGCCGCAGGGTTGGGGAAAAGACATCTGCTAAAAAGTTCCCCAGCAGGAGTGGGGAGATGGCCAACCGCACGAGCCGCCTTAGCAACCACGGGATCCAGGTTCTCGCGCCGCCAGGGAGCGAAGGCAACGCACTGAAACCTGCGATGGTACAACGTGCCTCTACCATCTCTGCACAGCTGGCATTGGTCAGGGGCCTCTGGACTATGCTCGCACACTCTGTGCTGGCACCAGTACACATTCGCACACAGCGCTGAAAGAGCTGCCTTGTGCGACTTCGTCCACGACTCCGAACATTTCCGCCCTAGAAGCTGATGAATGGGCTGCCAGAACACTGGGCCGCTCCACATCCCGAAATCAAATTGTTTCAACTGCTCCTCCCGCTCAATGGCCCGAACGACCGAGCCTCGCAGGAGAAGGGTGAAAAACTTGGGCGAAAACCGATCAATTGACCACACACGGTTGAGGTCGTCAACCAGGGCTAATCGAGACACATCGAAACTCCAGCGGATCCGAGCAAGCTGCAGGAAAAGCGCAGCAACAGGCTGGCGGACTTGGCCCCAGGGGGCCCTACTCCCCTGGACCGCCAGGGCGTCCTGGACACAAGCTTCCAACACTGGTTTGGAAATCGAGCGGGCCCACCAAACGCTGACGAATTCCTTTACAGCCGACGTCACCGTCACCAAAAGCGGGTCCCTGAGCCAGAGGCGAGCGGCCGAAAGAAACCTGAAGCCCAGGGAAGTGCCAGGAAGAAGAGGGCCCCAGGATCTCGCAGCTTGGACCCTAAGCTTATGGAGGGTGGTCGGCGGGATCCCCAAGATGTGGGATCCCCAAGAAGCTTTAGCCAGCGCGCCCACACGATAAACTCTACTATGCTTTTCACTCTGCCCCAGCTGTCGTAGGGCAACTGCAGTGCTGCGGGCGGCCTCAATTCTCGACGCCTGCGTGCCGACTCGCCTCGCCCTGCCGTCCAGCGAGTCGCCGCCGAGGTCGCGGTGGGCGATGACCAGCTTGAGGAGAGGGAGGGGGAGGAGGAGGAGGAGGAGGAGGAGGAGGAGGAGAAGGAGGAGGAACAGGAGGAGGAGGAGGAGGAGGAGCAAGCTTTACGGAATGAGCTCCTCAGCTAGCAAGGCGGATCACGCTCCAGCCCGTCGAAGCACCTGCTCCAGGGCGCGCGGCCGCGCGACCTCGCGGCCCCCCACAAGGGGGCTGGCGGCGAGGCGGTCGGCCGCCGCAGGCGCGGAGGACGACGGCGAGGAGGACAGCGAGGAAGACGACGAAGAGGGCGACGAGGAGGAGGACGACACGAGGAGGACGACGACGGCGACGGGGCACCGAGGGCGAGGACGTCGGCGAGGACCCCTGCCCGAGAGCTCGGCCCACGCGCCGCTCCCCGCGCGGCTCGCCTCGAGCGGGCTGGTGTTCGCGAGGGTCAGGGTCTGCGACATCAGCTCCAGGCTCGGGTTCGCGTCCTCCCCGGCGGGGGGGGGCTGCCCACGGTGGTGGCGGACGCGGACGGGCTCTTGCCGCGAGGAGCCCTCGGTGAGGAAGCGGGGGGGGGGCTCTTGCGTCCCGACCAGGGTGTTCTGATGGTCCCGCACGGCTGGCACAAATTCAGGCCCTGGTGGAAACGGGCCCTGGACCCCAGGGTTTTCCCCAGGTAGCAGCTCTGCATCCCGAGTGGCTTCTCGGGGAGGGCCCCTGGAGATCGCGCCGCATCGCCGATGTCTCCACGATGCGTCGGCGACGTCAGGGTCGAGAAAGTCGTACTCCGGATCGCGCCGCGCCGCCGATGCATCGGCGATGCATCGGCGAACCTCCGACCACATCTGCTCGGGCCCCATGTGTGGGAGGGCCCGCGGTGCCAGCCACAGCCTGCGCCAAGACCCTTGGCCCAAGGTGGGCGCTGAGCTCCCCTCTCCAGGGTACGTCTGCTCTGGGGTACGCTAAGCCGCTTGGCCGCCCCTGACATATGGGCGGCCTGAATCCCTGCCTCCCGAACACTCAGCACTCTTCCCCCAGAATGCCCTGTTACCCATCCCCTCTCCACTGGGCCCAGGACTGTGCATGCATCTCCGCGCCAGGCATCTCGCTTCTCCCTCTGGCCGGTCCGCCCCGCCCCGTCCAGGGTAAAGTCGAACTTGATCTCGGTAGTCGAGAGCTTCAGCTGGAGAACAGGTTTCGCTTCCACAAGGCAGACCACTAGACCACTGGAAGGCGCCTGGAGAGACAGATGGCGAAGAAAAGCACACGCACATAGGAAGAGCGAGACCCCTCGGAATTCCCTCGGCGCGTGAGATGATTGCCCTCTCCTAGATACCTTCCCCGAGCACAATGAGGGGTCCGGGGGAGATCCCCGGTGAACTCATCTGGGCCCTGGAGGCCGCAAAAAGCTCCGGGGCGCGTACAAAACGTCGAAGAAAGCCTGATGACGGTCCACGAGTGCTCCGGGACGGCCCAAGACACGCCCGAGAAAGTCCCGCACGACCTCAACACAACCCCCAGAGGCTCCCGAGACGGCCCAAGAGAGCCCAAGGAGGACCTCCAACAGGGCGCCACGAGGCACAAACTTAGGAATGGTCGCTGTGTTTCTACATGTTTGATGCACTCGCCTGCTCGATCGTCAGAAGGTTTCTTTCGAGGCAATGTTTATGAATATACACATATATATATACACATATGTGAGTATATATATATATATATATACAAGATTTTACCGGCTCGCTTCGCTTCGCCTTTAAAATCTTGGTCGCATGGCGTCAGCGAGGTTCGCCTCGACCCGTGGTCGAACGCACCGCGGTCTGATTTGGCAATGAGGCTCACGGGGCCCATAGGGCTGATACGACTCATTGGGTTCTTTGGGTCAGTGTGCTGAAAGGCTCTTTGCCGTGACTGGATCTTAGAAGTTCGGGGGCGGAATGTGGAGATGGGAAACGTCGGGCATCGCGGCACCTGGGGGCCATGGGGTTTCCAGTGTCCGCAGCCGAGCTTGAATTCAGAAGGGGCTCTCGGGCTGATGAGCTTATTGGGCGCGGAGGCGCGGAGCGCCCAAGGCATCGCCGAAGCCAATGGTCTTTGGCCACGTGGACCGCGTCGGCTCATGGGGCTTCCTCGGATCATGGGGCCCATGGCGGTCATTTTGCCCACTGGGCCCAGAAGGGTGATCAGGTTCAGGACGGGTCGTCCGGGTCGTAGGGCTCATAGGGTCGACGGGGCCCATGGGGCTCATAGGGCTCGTCATGCTCTGTGGGCTAGCGTGGGCCGTGGGGCGCATGAGTCTGAAAGGGCTCGCAGCGCGCTTCACCCGCGTGAACGCCCTGAGCGGCATGGGGCCCATGGGGTGCACAGGGCCCGCAGGGGTCATAGGGCTTATAGAGCTCATGAGGCTCATAGGGCTCGTAGGGCTCATGGGGCTCATAGGCCTCATAGGGCTTATAGGGTACATGGGGCTGATAAGGCTCATTGGGCGCATAGGGTTCATAGGGCTCATAGGGCTCATCGGTCTCAGAGGGATCTTGGGTCCCCCAGGGCGTATGGGGCGCATATGGTTCGTAGGGCCCATAGGGCTCATACCTCATAGGGCTCGTGGGGCTCATAGGTCTCGCATGTGTCAAGAGGGCTCTTGGGGGTCAGCGGGGCCACAGGGCTCATGGGGCTCATAGGGCTCGTACGGCTCATAACGCTCATAGGGCTCATAGGGTGCACGGGGCTCTTGGGGCTCATAGGGCTCATATGGCTCGTGGGGCCCATGGGGCTCATGGTGCTCATAGGGCTCATGAGGCTCTCAAGGCTCCGAGGGCTCATAGGGCTCATCAGGCGCATCGGCCCCATAGGGCTCACAGTGCCCCCAGGTCTCATAGGGCTAGTGCGTAATAGGGCTCATAGGGCTCATCGGGCTCATAGGGCTCATGGGGCTCATCGGGCTCATAGGGCTCATAGGGCTGGCACGTAATAGGGCGCATTGGGCTCATAGGGCTCGTAGGGCTCATAGGGCTCAGTGGGCCCTTAGGGCTTGTAGGGCTCAAAGGGCTCGTAGGGATCGCAGGGCCCATGGGGCTCATGGGGCTTGCAGAACTCACAGGGCACATAGGGGTCGTGAGGCGTATAGGTCTCATAGGGCTCATAGGGCTCATAGAGCGCATAGGGCTCATAGGGCTCCTAGAGCTCATCAGGCTCCTAGGGCTCATAGGGCTGCCACGTAATAGGTCTCATCGGGCTCATAGGGCTTGTAGGGCTCATAGGGTCCGTAGGACTCATGGGGCTCATTGGTCTCATAGGGCTCGTAGGGCTCATTGGGCTCATAGGGCTCCTAGGGCTCAGAAGGCTCGCATTGCTCATAGGGCCCATAGTGCTCATAGTGGCCGTTCGGGCTCATAGAGGCCATGGGGCCCACAGGACTGAGGACGTCAACGTGGGCGCACGGCCCCGCGCGCTCACGGGGCTCGCGCGGTCTCATTCTGCCGCGCCCACTTGACGTGCGGGAGCAAAGACGCCAGCGACGCTGGAAGAGACGGGGGGCATGTTTGGCACCGACGCGCAGGGAGCGATCACGCGCGGGCGGTGGCGAGAGAGCCACTAGTAGGAGGTGCGCGCTTGAAGTGGCCAACGGTTAATACAGCTGTTGACGGGGGTCTCGTCGTCGCCGGCGTCTCACTTCTTCGCCGGCGCTTCTTGACAGCGTTCGTCTTGGCCGCGGGCTTCAGGGGCTTCTGGTCGAAAGCGGCGTGGGTCTGGACTCCGATTGCCTGGCCGGGGCCGACGGTTGTCATGGCAATGATGGAAGGGTATTGCTGCGCGTAGGTGGCGAGGGCCTGGGCCGCACCTTTGTGCAAGTTCACGGCCACTTTCAGCTGCACGTTCACGAGCTCCGTGATCGTGAAGGGCGCGTTCTGGAGCGTTGTTCCTGACCTGGTCACGCGGACCCTGTTGTTCAAAATCTCTGCCTCCGCCTTCCAAGCGGACTTCTGGTCCATGGCGGGGACGTTGATCCGTGCTTTGAGGAACGCCTGGTCCAAGATCTGCATCGCGTGGTATGCGACGTGCTTCTGTGCCGCCACGGCACTCTGCGCACCGGTGCCGTAAACCGTCCGTGTGTAAGCCCAGGAGATGCCGTGGTACGGGTTGCTAGGTGATCCCGGCGGCTTGAGCCCGGTCGTCACTTCCACCACGTTGCCTGGGGCACCAGCCAGTTTCATGGTGTCTGTGGACCTCTGCGCGAGCGTGGAGAGGCCGTGGTTGCATGCTGGAGCCCCCGCGTTTGCACTAGCAGAGTCTGCTATCACTACACGTGCTCCGGCGTTGACGCGGTTCGGTACATCGATGGGCTCGACGCTGACCAAGAGGGTATATAGGGATGCGCGTTTGCCCTCGGAGCGTCCTTGGCTGGCTGAGGGGGTGGAGGTCGCTGCTTGCTTCAGGCCGATCGGGTCCACGCGCACGTTGCCCTGCACCTTCTTCTTCTGCGTTTTGGCCGGCATGTTCCAGTCCGGTAGCGGAGCTCACGTCGGCGCGCGTGGAAGTCCGTTTGAACCACAGTTTGGCTGAGAAAGACGACAGTGACGATGGTGGTGACGGCGATGGCGATGAGGCAAATGCTGAGACATAAGATCATGATGACGATGATGCCCGTTTTGTTGTCGATGAGTGTGATGACAGTGATGCATATGATGATGATGGTGGTGACGATGACGTCGAGGAGGACGTGCGTGATGGGGCTGGTAAGGCTCATAGGGCTCCTGAGGCTCATGGGGCTCATCGCACTCGTCAGGCTCGTAGGGCTCATTGGGGCTCATAGGGCTCATGAGGCTCACAGGGCTCATGGGGCTCATAGGGTTCGCACGGCTCATAGGGCTCATAGGGCTCGTAGGGCTTGTCCGGGTCATAGGGCTCATAGGGCTCATAGGGCTCATAGGGGTCATCAGGCTCATGGGGCTCATAGGGCTCATAGTGCTTGTAGGGCTCATGGGGCTCATAGGGCTCGTAGGACTCATAGGGCTCATAGGGCTCATATGGCTCGTAGGGTCCATTGGGCTCATAGGGCTCACAGGGCTCGTAAGCCTCATGGGGCTCATAGGGCTCATAGGGCTCCAAGGGCTCCTCATAGGGCTAGTAAGGCCCATCGGGCTTATAGGGCTCAACGGGCTCATAGGGCTCATAGGGCTCGAAGGGCTCGTTGGGCTCATGGGGCTCATAGAGCGCATAGAGCTCGTAGGGCTCATAGGGCTCATAGGGCTCGTAGGGCTCATGGGGCCATGTAGCTCATAGGGCTCATAGGGGTGATAGGGCTCAGAGGGACCATAAAGCTCATAGGGCTTCTAACGTTCAAAAGGCTCGGGGAACTCATAGGGCTCACAGGGCTCTTGGGGTTCATAGGGCTCATAAGGGCTCATAGAGCTCATAGGGCTCATGGGGCTCATGGGGCCTACAGGGCTCGTAGCGCTCATAGGGCTCATAGGGCGCATAGAGCTCATAAGGCCCGTAGGGTTCATAGGGCTCGTAGGGGTCATAGGGCGCATAGGGCTCATAGGGTCCATAGGGCTCATAGGGGGCTCGTGGAGCTTGCACGTCTTGTCGACGTCAGTGTTGCCGGCCGCCCCTTCCTCCTCCTCTTCCTCCTCCTCCTCCTCCTCCTTCTCCTCTTCCTCCTCCTCCTCCTCCTCCTCCTCCTCCTCCTCCTCCTCCTCCTCCTCCTCCTCCTCCCTCTCATCCTCCTCCTCCTCATCATCATTGCCCTCCTGCGTATCTCTCTCCCCCCTCTGAGGATAAGGGGAAGCCAGAAAAGGAGGAGGAGGATGAAGCAACGTTGGCTGAGACCGTCACTCTGGCGACTCGGTTCGTTCAGACGGGGACGCCAATGGAAGAGTAAGCCTTTTGGAAGAGCACGGTGTGTTTGCTATCCTCGGTCGCTGTGGAACGAAGTCGGTCTGTGAAACGAGGTGAAACAGGAACTGGTGGTGAAAAGTGCGAGCAGGCCGCAGGAAAGACGCGGAGTGACACATTGACTCTCTCCAGGCATGCTGCGCAGAAGCGTGCCCGCGACCAGGGGGAGAAGCAGGAGGAGAGACGAGGAGCAGCAGCAGGAGGGGAAGTAGGGCTCAGAAGGGGCTCGTAGGGCTCGTAGGGCTCATAGGGGTCATAGGGCTCACAGGGCTCATAAGGATCATAGGG